ACAAAACAACAAGAAAGAACAGCAATATAAATTATTTGTTTAAAAAGTTACATTTAAAACTCATCAATGTTATAAAATACATTTTCTTGCAGAAAGTGTTTTATGGAGTTTCGAAATTTGAAGTGTGTAGGCTTTATTTTCAGATTTCTGAATTAAAGTACTATAGAAGGTTTTTTTGCAGTTTCGACGAGATGCATGTGTTCTTTTTTCTCAGATTTGTAGTAATTTTGCATTTCAGCATGCTGTTTTTCAGGTTCTCGCTAGAGTTTTTGATCTCAGCTCTAATCCAATTTTTTTTATTACTCTAATTCTTTCTTCGTGACATTGGAAATCATTTATTATATATATCAACAAAAATGTTTACGAAGATGTTGAATTTATGATTACAGTCGTTTCTATTATATACCTCACCCCAAGTTTCCGCTGTTAGGACATTTCTAAATCTAAGCAGCAAGTGAGCACAATAGGGCGGTAACTGGAAGGTACTTGTACATTTTTTCCCTGTTTAGATACAGGTATGACAATTGCTTCTCGCCATTTATCCGGGTAGGTGTTTGTTCTCCATGTGAGGTAAAAAAGTTCTAAAGATTTTCTTCTTCATTTCGTTTGGTAGATGGCATATAATTTCATATGATATTTGATCCGGTCTGGAGCACAAGTTTCTATTGTTTGATATTGCTTTTTTGAATTCATCTATCCTGTTTGTACACAGTTTCTTCCTGGGTAGAAAAATCAAATGTAATTTTCCGATTATTTTTTCTTGCATAAACTCCAGGTGGAAGCTTTCAGAACTACTGGACTGACTGAAATATTATCTCAATATATTGCCCATTATCGTTTTATCGGTTATTTGCTGTCCCTCATATAAAATCACAGGGGGTTTAGATCTAGTTTGGGTTCCTGCTATCATTCTTATTTTGCCCCATACTTCTCCCACCAAGGTATCTATCGTGATAGATTCGACATAGTTGTGTATCTGTTGAAGTCTAGTATAATTTTTCTCACCTTTGCACTAGCTCTATTGAATGCAATCATTAGTTGGATGTCTCTTGAAGTAATGGGCTCATTTAACAAATTTTTTTATTTCATAATTTGAAAGTTTATGTTTTCCCCCTCAAATTAATTGTTGAATGTGGCGTTCACCGAAACGGGGCGTGGTCAATCTTGACGTCAGTCGACTCGGCGACAAGAGAGTGCTGGCGGATAAGCGAAATCGAAATACGTGTACTAAAGCCGCAGAAAACAAGTTGTGTGTTGTTTACTGCAGTGTGTCAACTGCGTGAATATGAATAATGATAAAAAATGACGTTACAAGTATTGCATCGTTCTCAAATGCAAGAATTCTTCGGTCACGAAACTTGTGGCAGCGCGCTATGCGGAGGGCCGACTTTGTATCTGCCAAGGGAACGCATTTTTGTTGCGAAGATCATTTTAATGTAATTATCAATGATAATGATTAATAAAAAAAATTATACTTTACTCTGATCACTACTTTGAATTTTAGGTTGTATAAAGTCAAAGTATTTTTCACAAAGAAAAATGTTTTATTTATCAGTAACTTGCCGTATTTAACAATTTTGCCTGTCAAAAAAATTGCTAAGAAATAATACAATACTTATCTTTACATTTCGGAGGCCAAAATCTGCCCCGTTTTCAGAAATGGACAAAAAATTCAAAGATATTTGCAGTTATTCCTTTTGATTATTTATTTCTCAATTATAATTTTTATATTTTTCAGATTGTGAAAGGTAAAAAATAGCCAAAAAAAAGTCGATATAGAACAAACTATTTTCATGAAGAAATTTCAAAATTAAAACTTGTGATTCACAATAAGGATATTGAATTAGAGAATCTTAACTGACGAGTATAATGAAAAAATTGATGAAATGCAACAAACTGTTGATGAAATGTACAAAGACATGAAGGAAAAAGACAATTATATTAAGCGGCTGAATAATAGAACTCAAGACTTCGAAAATGATGTGTTTGAAATGGAGAATAAAAATGCTCAAAAATTGAGGGATCAAGGTGAAACCATTTTTCAATTAAATAAAAGGTTTTTAAATTACACGAAAATATTAAGTCATATGTCTAACTGATCTTAATTAAGTAAAGTTAACAACAACAGGCATATAGATGCCTATGAGAGTGTAGAAATAAGTAAACATAATAATATGAATAACGATGGTGGACCAATACCTTATAGTATCTGTCTTTGGTAATCTGTTTAAAATCTGTTTTTCCCTTAACCAGCTGTCGTACCCCTACGAACGACAACCCTCAGAAGTCGAAACTTGTGCACGCTAACGAAGTCTTACCTTTTAACGTGTGATTCCTAACACGTTATAGCTATATAGCTTGTTTAAATAATATTTTAATTATTAGATTTACCTGACTATTACATAAGGACACATTGCAAAATTAATTCAAGACTAGTAGATAAGGCAGTATTGTGAAATTGATTTTATATAGCTTGTTAAAATCATATTTCAATTATTAGATTTACCTAACTAATTTATGTGAATTTCCATTTCATTTCCATTCCATTTATGTGAATTTCCATGTGGATAATGTTGATATTTTATGTTGAAATTTGTATCAATCTGAAGTGAAAAACCTGGAGAATATATGTAGTGTTTTTGTATTCAAAGAAAAGTTGAAAATTCTCATGTAATTAGTGTTTAAACAACAACATAAACTAATTAACCCAACAAAAACCATAAGTACAAAAACCGGTATAGTAGTAGAAAAAATTGGGAGTGTCTACTGAGCCAATTGCCCTACAATGGTCTGCAATACCTAACTTAGATTCTCCTAAACATTCGATTATTTGAATGTTCGAATTATTAAATGATATTTTAATGTTGTTTTCGTTTTTCAACAGAGATAGTGGAATATTTTATGTAGTCACTGGATAGTTTTTTTGTCACGTCATATAATATGAATTTTGTTTTCCGTGGTTGGGAATATTCCGAAATACTGTTTTCAATCTGGTGGCACCCGATTCAACATCAATTTTTTTTAGTTTCCTCCTACTCACGACCCAAAGAATCTTCCTGACTAAGAGCTCCGTGCAAGTGTACCTTTTGATAAAAAAAAAGGTTACAATACATCATCAGATTCTACTTTGTCTGGAATATTAGTTGAAAACTGGAACTCGAAAAACAATATTGAGCGAAGATCTATTTACGTCATAGAAAAAAATCCGAAATTATGTATTGGAATCCCAAGGTACTTTTTATTAATTTATAGAACTTTCGTCTCAAAAATGCCAGTTACCCAGAATTGATATATACATTACTTTGAAGAAAATTAAATTGAATTGACGATAGCAGCGATTCATAATCTCTACCTACAGGCCCGGTTGCCACCGCTCGAAGCTCGTTTGTCAAGATGAACCGCGGGCGATCTCGCTCTTGCTCAGTTGTTAATTGACATATAAACCGGAAAATTTTGTGGGATACTTGGGAGATGATTTACTTTTATGAAATATAATTTTCAATAAAAAACTAAATTAGCCTGAATGAGCCCATTGAGTAGTTTTTTTTCTTGAATACATCCCTTTACACTTCGTTATTCCACCAGGGTACTGAACGCTTTGAGTAATGTCCTGATGATGATTTGGTTATAGTTCAGTCTGATGTTTTGATTATCGCTGATGTAACTTTATATCCCGCTGACGTGATATCTCCATTTAATTGAATGTTAGTGAACTGTTCTTGGAATAAATCCCTATCAGCATGACCATACTGCCTTTCTTTTTTTGTTTTCATCTGGGTTATGTGTGGTCGTTATTGGATGATAATGGGAAGATGATCACTAAATAGATCGCTCTCAGCGACAGACCAATTTAGCCGGTGACTAAGGATGGGTGAACAGATACTCATATTGATGACTGAGAAGTTACCAGACCTCGAGTTCAGATATGTCCCTTCTCATGTATTCAGTAAAATGAGGTGAAACTCATCAATAACTTGTTCTGTCATCTGCCTCAGAGGTCCAATCTATTAGAACCCCATAGGGGATTGAAGTCGCCAACTATTATGCAAGGGCCTTTGATCTGGGTAAACAGATTTCTCAGGTTCTCTAGGACCCAGTTAGCATTTTGCAAATGAATGTTACAGATGGTAGCATAGAAAGGGTATTCGATACGAATTGCTACTGTTTGCAGATTTGTTCGTTGTAGGATCGTATGTGTTTTAATGTCATTCATTATGTTAGTAGCTACTCCACCTTGTGCTCGGTATTGAGGGTTCACATCCTTGCGAAATGAGTCATATCCTATCAAATGAAAATTTTCTTTATGTTTCAAATGTGACTCTTGAAAACATGCAGAAAGGGGTTAGTTCTTACATTAGCCGTTTTAGTTCAAAATAATGACTTTTAATTCCATTGCATTTCCATTGAATCAGATTGGTGCATATTATTTATGTCAAATGGGTATTTATGTTTCTCATAATGATGGCTTTGAGTATATGAATTATTAGATAAAATATGCCAAAATATATACCCCTCTTTTGACAAGATTTTCCTCTGTTTCTTTGTGTAATAGGATTATCAAGAGAGTTCATTTCATTCCCAGGAGTAGCTAGAGATTGGGTAAGTCACCTACTGTAGAGCCCCGGGTATAGTAGTAAGACCATAATACTCCAGAAGTTGCCAGGATCCTGAAGGGTACATTCGTAACTTATTAACGCAGTCATTCGCCCCGTTGGCACGTACAACATGGATTTTTCTTTGAGATTTACTCCTCACTTGAGCTGTCCTTAGCTTCGCCGCTCACCTTTGACTTTACCAGCAAGGGTGACCCTACCAGAAGTTATGACTTCCACTGGCATTACTCGAAAGTTCATTGCGGGTACTGAGCCTTCCCACCTACTTCAAGGTTATGAGGAGGTCAGGAAAAGTTGATTCAACAAAAGATTAAATTCAAGTATTAAGACATACTACTTTAAGAATATTTTCTAGACAAAAAAGTAAAAACTTCGTTTTTTTTTCAGAAAAGTTGTGTGGAAACATCTACTGAATGTTTATCCAGAAGGTATGACGGGCAAAGAAAGAATGGACTACATTAAGAAAAAAGCACTGGAGTATGTTACCTTGAGAGAAACATGGAAAACTGCTATTGCTCAAGGCCCTGTTGTAGGTGAATTAGCTTACACAACCGGAATGGTCCGAAAAGATGTATTGAGAACTGACCGTCATCATCCATTTTATGCAGGAAGTGATGATAATCAAAATATTGCATCACTTTTCAATATATTGACCACGTAAGTTATGAACAGTACTTTCAAAATATGTTTATTATTTTGAACATATTTCAGATATGCACTAAATCATCCAAAAGTTAGTTATTGCCAAGGAATGAGTGACCTTGCTTCCCCACTTCTTGTCACAATGAACGATGAGGCTCATGCCTATATTTGCTTCTGCGCACTTATGCAGAGGCTATGCACAAATTTTATGATAGATGGAATTGCTATGACTCAAAAATTCAGCCACTTAGCAGAAGGAATCATGTATTATGATCAAGAATTTCATAACTATTTGAAAATTCACCAGGTAAGGGCGCCATCTAGTACTTTGACGTTCGTTCTTGATATTTTTGTCATGAAAATAGCCCGTACTGAGTCGGCATCTGAAATAAATGCTATAATTTTAAGGAACTGAATTTAGCTTGTAACTGGTAGGTTTAGGTAAAGTTTTCTGTCACGTCGCATTTTAGCTGTCTGTCAAGCCAGACAGTGTATTATAACCTTTTATGTCTTTTATTAGGAGCCGAGAGAGTGTCAATTAAAATTCAATGAGACGAAAAGTTATATAAATTGGTGTTTTGTTTTCAGGTAGATATTTGACATAATTTTTTTTTCTTCCAAAAAATTAATTTCACAGTTCAAATTCGAAAATGCCGATTTCTCATTGGGAAATGCGTAGCTGGAAAAATAATTTTGAATGAATAGAAAACATTTCTGAAGTTTTAAAACATGGCGGTTGCTCGTCAAATATAGTATACTAGGTCATTTAAGAGAAAAACATGGTTTCACGAGGCAGAGAAAAAACGCATCATTGGGGATATAGAGATTCAAAATACATCATTAGAAGCAAAAACATGGCGGCAATGCAATGGAGTATACAAGGGTGTATCAAAATTTTGTTTTCGAGGTGTAGGGAGACGTAGCCCTTACAAAACAACTACTCACCAATACAGATATTGAATTACATCCAACATTTATTTGTGCAATGTTCATCAAAGAGGATATTCGCTAAAAAACAACTTTACCCATACAGGGATTGAATTACATCTGACAGCACAATCTTCAAAGGGAATGTTTGGATGATACTTGCTTGTATCATATGTTTAGTAGTCCTTTCATTTTAACGTGCGATCCCAATGAGAGAAGTATAGAGGTTGTCTCAAAAACGTCAGGGCGCTACGTGTAATGCAATTAACGTTCGAAGTTGGGCAATGGGGGAGCGAAGTACTTGGCAATAACATATGGCTTCTCAAAATACGTTAGCGTGTATTACGTTTTGCGTGCGTTTTGTGGCTCTTGCCCGAGAAATGAACATAATTAGAAATATAAAGTAAAAAAGATTGGAATCAAACATAGCATTCGGTCGATCGGTAGCCGGTCGGTTCGACGTGGGTGCTTTGTTCACCCACTCAAATCGACCGCCGCGTTGGTCGGTTGTTTAAGCCCCAGGCTGAACGATCGATTTTCACTTGCTACCTTCCAACCCGTGTTAGAAATCACACGTTATAGGTTGAGACCTCGTTAGTCCTTAGCTTGCACAAGTTTTGACTTCTGAGGGTAGTCGTTCGTAGGGGTACAACAGCTGGTTAACGAAAAAACAAATTTTAAACAGATTTAGAAGTTTTATTTATTACATGAAAAAATAACAAACATTTATATTCATCTGCAAGAAATAATACTATTTTCATTGCATTAATGATGGATTTGCAATAATATTAATGGAAATTGTAATTTATTGAACAAAATTACAATTTTGCTCAACTGGCTATCGACCGAAGTCCTTCTGCCCATGTAACAAAATTGCTTTGAAATAACATAGCTTATTTTACAATATAAACTTCCAAAACTTCCAAAGTAACTTCACAGTCTGTACATTTGAAATGATTGAAACATTTCATGGTCAAATAACCTGCAAAATAAACAACGGAATGTTTTTCTAATGTGGAATCTTAATTCAAATGGACTATTAGACAATAAGAAAAACTGCTGGATGAATCCGTTTCTAAGGATGACAATTCTTCTTCAACACTTAACAAAGCAAGTGTTTCATTTTCATCTGCTGGTACAAATATGTTATCGTCATCATCTGGTTTACTGTCTGCATTGGCACTTCTAGGTGTCTTAATTAAATTAGTGACTATATTGATTTCAAAAGCTGATCGAAATGCCTTTACTGTAGTTTTTCTGTTATATCCTCCTCTCTGACAATAAACAGAAAATTGATTTTCAAGTGGACCCTGAATCAACCTTTCTGTGAATTAATATTTGAAACTTTCATTTCTTTGATCATTTGCAAATTGTTTCACTGCATTTATGGTTACAAGAAATCCGTCAAAACTATCAGGTCTGGTTAGTTTCCCATTTTTTCCAACTTCATAAAGATTTTTCAATAAGTCGTACCCTGCATTTATAGCAGCATATACTTTGGGGTTGGTATCATTTAAAACACGATTTCAGGGTTTTTTGTATGTAAACGTGTGCTATTCAAAGCATTGAATAAATTGTACATTGTAACAACAAAGTTAGCCATATTTTCAGCTGTACTCGAAACAAGTTCACCAGTTCTCTTGGATGTATTTATGACAGCATAAACACTATGGCTCAATAATTGGGCAGCTAATTTCACATTCATTGAGGGGTTGAGGTGTTTATCAGCGAGTTTCAACAACGCTTTTCCTGTTGTGCTCTTTTTATCCAGGTCATACACTTTCCTTGTGAGGAACTTCAAAAAATACATATTTTTTTTCATTCAAGAAAAATACGGTTTTTTTTGTCAAACCCCAAATGTTTGAAAACTTTCTGATTGGTACTTGATAAATCACAATGTCTATCGTTTGTGATTAACACAATATTAAACACAATATGTTGCCACATTATCTGAGTGATCGGTTAACCTACACAAGTAGTATTCATACATACTCCACTAGAAATGGAATAGGAAATGTTTATATCAACAGAGAACATATAGGTTGTGACTCGTTGTATAGTTCTGATCTGATTGCATTTAATAATTTTCCAAGTCATATGTGATTCATTAAATTCATTTAAAAGAAAATGTAGTGAATATATTTCAAGGAATTGTCATCAATAATTCGTCTTGTTTTCTAGTTTCTTGTTTTTAAAATGTGACTTGTCTCTAATTTTATATATTTTTTTATTGTTTTGTATTCTATAAGTGACTGACTGTACTATGAAGAGCATTATTTTTCAATAAAGAGTAATAATAAAATAATAATTGTTTACCGTTTTGTTTCAATTAGTTTTTCTAAAGTAATGATGGGCATTAGCGATTCATACCACACCCCATCATCCAATACAAAGTAAGCAATAGGAATTTTCCACTTGTTATAAATTTTTCTAATCATGAGAACAAGAGCCTGACTAGCAGGGGAAGATTTCCTCCCAAATTCGCCTAGACCCTCGAAATCTTCAATGATGATGAAGAATGCACTTCTGTTCATAAGGCAGCATTATTGTATCTGCCTTCAAAGCGATATTCATATTAAGAACAATATTTTAGTTATTTATCCGAATTTGCAGAACTTTTGGAATTCTCTCTGAAAAATTTTAATTGATGACATACTTTTTTGATTGAACAAACATTTCCGTTTTGTTTGAATGATTTCAAATTTATCAGAAGATGTAAACTGCTATTTGTCAACACATTGACCATCTTCTGAATTAATTACAGTAAATTTACAGTAAAAAATTCATATTTTCACTCTCCTCGGAGCAGCTTATTTGTCGTATGAAGTAGACAACACTTTAATACTACTTTCGGGCTGTCAGATGTAATTCAATCTCTATGGGTAAGTAGTTGTTTTTTAGCAAATGTCCTCTTTGATGAACATTGCACAAATAAATGTTGGATGTAATTCAATCTCTGTATGGAGAACAAAGAATTGCTATTAGAATGATTGAAAGAAGAAATTGAGAGAACAAATTTACTGCCACTTTACTACTCCAAATATGGAGTAGTGAAGTAAACTAGAGAGAAGCTGTACCAACAATAGGAGTTTGCATTCTATTTCCCGACAACTGGGGGACCGACAACTTTTTAGTTTGGAGTGTTTACATAAAAGAATGGTTTTAGAAGGAGTCTGCAAAGTCATCAGGAGGTTGGATCCCCTCCTCTGCATGGTTCACTACCAAAAAGCAGGGGTCTGAGAATTTCTATTTAAACAGCTACTCTAGGGGCTGATGAACATTTTTCAGCATAGAACGAGGTGACCAGAACTCTATCACCAGGTCTCCCAGAACGAGCAACCAGCTTTCGGAAGGTGCCTGATTCGCACAGCCTTTCGTATATTCTTATGAATGTTTGTTTATTTCATCCAAAGCAATTAGGATATCGTCCATTTCAGAGTTTTCAAACTGTACCATTTTTCAATTCCAGTAATAAATTTTATGGACTAAAACTCTTAAAAACACTTCAAAAAATTACTGTCAAATAATTATGTTTGCACTGTTTCAAGTTATGTAAAAATTTAATTGCACATTGTTTTTTCTGTAGTATTAACTGCAGTTACAAATAACGTTCTCTGTTTTATCGAAAACCGTTAATCTAACTCATCAATGTTATAAAATACATTTTCTTGCAGAAAGTGTTTTATGGAGTTTCGAAATTTGAAGTGTGTAGGCTTTATTTTCAGATTTCTGAATTAAAGTACTATAGAAGGTTTTTTTGCAGTTTCGACTAGATGCATGTGTTCTTTTTTCTCAGATTTGTAGTAATTTTGCATTTCAGCATGCTGTTTTTCAGGTTCTCGCTAGAGTTTTTGATCTCAGCTCTAATCCAATTTTTTTTATTACTCTGATTCTTTCTTCATGACATTGGAAATCATTTATTATATATATATCAAAGAAAATGTTTACGAAGATGTTGAATTTATGATTACAGTCGTTTCTATTATATACCTCACCCCAAGTTTCCGCTGTTAGGACATTTCTAAATCTAAGCAGCAAGTGAGCACAATAGGGCGGTAACTGGAAGGTACTTGTACATTTTTTCCCTGTTTAGATACAGGTATGACAATTGCTTCTCGCCATTTATCCGGGTAGGTGTTTGTTCTCCATGTGAGGTAAAAAAGTTCTAAAGATTTTCTTCTTCATTTCGTTTGGTAGATGGCATATAATTTCATATGATATTTGATCCGGTCTGGAGCACAAGTTTCTATTGTTTGATATTGCTTTTTTGAATTCATCTATCCTGTTTGTACACAGTTTCTTCCTGGGTAGAAAAATCAAATGTAATTTTCCGATTATTTTTTCTTGCATAAACTCCAGGTGGAAGCTTTCAGAACTACTGGACTGACTGAAATATTATCCCAATATATTGCCCATTATCGTTTTATCGGTTATTTGCTGTCCCTCATNCACATGTGCTTCCTACCTATTGATTCATTGTTTTAAATATTCTGCTATCCAGAAGTAGCAAAATTTATATTACTATTAGGCAACCAGTTTATAATAAACTTTCTTAGTTTAAAATTTTTTGTGTTGCAGGCTGATGATCTACTTTTCTGCTATCGATGGTTACTTCTAGAAATGAAGAGAGAATTTGCTTTTGAGGATTCTCTTCGTATGTTAGAAGTTCTTTGGAGCTCTCTACCTGCTGACCCTCCTGAGAAAGAATTGAAGCTCTTTGATACCTTGTTTCAACTACCTTCAGTATCAACACCACCCATTAGTCCTTTGGTGAAAACAACGAGGGAAACTCAGTACACAAAAATATGCGCCTTAAGAAGGCAAAGTTCTTCCATATCATTGAGCAATTATAACTGTAAGAAAAACAATCAAGTAAAGAGACAGAATCACAGCCTAGATGAGTCAATTAGTAGGTGTAGTCATAACATTACTGACATAAAAATAAAACACCAAAGTTTGGATGATACCGCACTAACCCATAGTAAAACTAAAAGTATTGATATCAGCCCCAAATCCCCGAAAAAGTGTAGCGACTTTTCCTACTACTCAAAAAATTTCGAGTTTTTGTCAACTTCGCCCAAATCTGAGCTTAGATCCCGATCTGTTTCCCCTTTAGAACAAAAATCAGACTCCATAGTACTGAACAATAGACTTAATACTCAACAATTTCTAACAAAAAAAAGTGCAAGCTTATCTTCCAGCATGACTAACCTAATTAAAAATACCAAGCGACCGGGCCATTTCAAAGAGCTCAAAGACAAAATAACTACTGCTAAACTATTTTCTTCTTTAGATAAGTTGGATGCCAACCAGTCAATAAAGGAAGAAGAAGAGCGTGCACCAAAAACTAAGTTGGTAAAAAACCTCAACGAGTTCCTGAGAATTGGTACTGTTAGCAAGAATAAGATATCAGATGTAAATATTGAAGCTGCAATTGAGAAACCGAAGATAATGCTTACTAAATCAAGCTTTGATGACTCTGAGAGCTCCAGCTTGGATCATACTTCGGAAAATACTAGACATTATTCCTCAACTTCCAATGACGAAACGTTTGATGAAACTAGTCCCGATGATTCCCAAGAATATTTTCCCTTGACTACTTCGGTTACCAGAGAATTGAGACTAGAACTCGAGAATTTGGACAGAACAGTTTTCGGAGATAAATACATAGAGAGGTTATGTGAATCACCTCCAAGTAGTGAAGATGGAAATACTGAACTAAAAACAGTAACCGAAGACTTTGATGTTAGGGAAAATTTTGAAACAAAACGAAGAAGCGATGATATTTTTTTATGGGAAAATCCTCTCCATTTGACAAGTCCCAATAATGTGGTTAAAATTACCACACACATTTCAGACAAACAGATTGAAATCGAGAATGACGCCCCAAGCATGGTAAATGAGACGTCAGCCATGAAAACAATCACTCCAATAAAAATTATAAACCAAACTCCTATAGAAAAGGTGTGTTCAGTTCAGGATGAACCAGAGCTCAACTCTGATGTTCCAAATCATGGTCCTTTCTCAAATCATATCATGATGAATGGAACAACACCAACCATGACAAACTCCTGTGAAGAAGTTACTGAATCTATCAAATCAACGTCTCTTCTTCCCCCACCAAATGAATTTGGAGGGGGGAATCCATTTTTGATGTTCCTTTGTATAACGTTGCTTTTACAGCACCGAGATCACATAATCAGTAAAGCTATGGACTATAATGAGATGGCAATGCATTTTGATAAAATGGTTAGAAAACATAATGTAACTAGGGTTTTGAATCAGGCAAGGCAAATGTACGCTAGGTATATTAAGCAACAAAGTATGGCTCAGCAAAGAACAGAGTCCAAAATTGAAGAATGTTAATGGTTTGTTTCCTTTTATTATTCAGTACTGTGATATTTATTCCGTATTACTTTTTTATTTCATTTGTAAATATTTCTTTTTGTACACTAGTAATAATTTAAGTGAGTTTTCTTTTGCTGGTAAGGAGAAAAGTGTTTATTTCATTTAATAAAACATTTACCTACTAGTTGTTTTTCATTGCAATATTGCCAATTTTGATTAGATACCTACTGCTCAGGAAAATACTTGACTTTGAAGTAATAAGCGTCATTGGATGTTGGTGTGTGAATTGTTTTTTGGTGTGGTTGAAAAATATCAATTTAATATTTGAGGGGTTCACATTTTGCGTTTATTTCAAGTTCTGCATGTTTAACCCATGGCTGGCTGAATTATTAATAACGATAATATTGTCAATATAAATATTCATTAGACAATTATATAAAACAGACATTCGAAATATGAAATATAATGGTCGAAAAAAATTATTATGTAATGTGCTAAAAACTTAACAAAGCAGAAACATTCCTCGGACTAAGTAAATGTGTGACAAATTTGAATTGGTATTTAAAAACCATTTTCTTTATTTTGTATATTAATCTCTCGACTTCTGAAGTTTTCAGAAAAGAATTGGGGAAGGTGGTCGCCATTCGTACAGTTAGTATAACAGAAAAACTAAACGGCACACAAACACGCCTTTGCTTGTGTGCATAGACATACCAAAGCAAATTTTACTGCTTTTTTTAAATGTGCTCGTCGACTTAACTCCGATGTACTGTATGAGATATAAATATTTTTTATAAAAAAAAAACTTGTTCTTCGAATTGTAAGTATCTATTGTTTATGTAAATATTAATAGATGCCTGACATATGCTAATTTTATTAATATGTATGTATTAACTTTTGTAAATACTGATAAATATAAAACACCAATAAATTATTTATCTATCATACCAGCCGCCATGTTGCTAGCGGAGTGCCGTAGTGCCAATTGCACTACGGCGTATCAGCTAGCGGAGTGTCACGCCAATTGCACTACGGCGTATCAGCTGACAAGACGTAACTTGTTTCCGCGCGTGGTAAGTAATTTTTTTTACCTAAGTTTACTTGGTAATTGTTAGTAGAATTGTTATATTTTTGACAAAATGGTGGTTGAATAATGTTAACATTGTTTATTCTAAGCTTCAATTGTTATATTTCTCAAACTAATTCAGAATTTGTATAAAGTTGTATTTTAATTTTGTGCAAAGGCATGGGTTGCATTCGGACAACCAGATAGGGGGCACATGTTAGCAACGCTTAATTGGTTCTCAGTCGAAAAAAGATTGTATTATTTCACAATGATTTTTGTATATAAAATATTGAATAACCTGGCTCCTGTTTACTTTCATACATTTATAATATTGAATAGAGACATTCACACTTATAACACTCGGGGTAAAAATGACATTCACATTAGCAGCACTGCTTATCGCAGTACTATGAACTCTTTATTTTTCAAAGGTTTCCAAGAATTTAATAAACTACCAGACTTCATTAAAACATCATCATCGTTGAATTTGTTTAAAAAACTATTGAAAGAACGTATTAAGATGAAATAGATATCGTACTGAAAGCAATTCTTGTAATTTTTGTAATTCTATTAATTCTATTTTTAAAATTGTGATTTTCGTATATTATTGTTGCATTGTATTTCTTTTTTTGTGTTTGTCTAATGTTGTATATATACACCGTTGATTTAATTGGGATATTTATGTATATTAGGGTTACCTATTTTTAAATAAAGATCTATCTATCTATCATTTGTATGTGTATGAATGCTCCCCTTTAGATTTAATCAACTACCAGTATATCAAAATTCAATTAATATGAAATGAAATATAGTATCACTTTTTAAAATTATCGTGTAGACAGCATAATAACATTTTTCTTTTATGGTGTATTCTATTTCTAACAAAATGAAATATTTTCATTAAGTCAGCCTTATAATTAATAGTTTATTGCAGAATCATGGTGAGAAAATATAAAAAAAAATCCATGAATTTAGCAATTGATGATTTGATACAAGTATGGTTGTTGTATAGGAAAGCCGCGTTAAAATACAACATCAACATTGAAAAGCAGAGTCAAGAAATTTAAAGATGGATCTAACGTCGATGGACCAGTCTACAAGTCTCCTCCTTGAAAGAATAGGCACGCTTAAATGACTATATTACTAATTGCTGCAAAATACATTATGAGCTAACGATAGTATAAATTCGGAAATTTGATTACGAATACGCGAAAGCGTTGAATTTATATATATCCAGCTAAATGGGACAAAAATCAAATGGCTGGCTTCGAGTGGATGCGTAAATACAGGTAAATACTCAGTCTACGAAAGCAAGAAAACACTAGTGCTGCTCAATCATTCGCGTTTAATAAGAATGCAGTTCAAGAGTTCTGTAATAATTTGGCTGATGTGTTACAGCAACATAATTTTGCTACCGACAGGATATTTAACTTTGACGAGTCTCTACTGTTTTAGAAACTCCTAAAATTTTGGCTCCTAAATCATAGAAACAAGTGGGACAAATCGTGTCAGCGGATGCACTACTGAAGAAGTTACTGAATCTATCAAATCAACGTCTCTTCTTCCCCCACCAAATGAATTTGGAGGGGGGAATCCATTTTTGATGTTCCTTTGTATAACGTTGCTTTTACAGCACCGAGATCACATAATCAGTAAAGCTATGGACTATAATGAGATGGCAATGCATTTTGATAAAATGGTTAGAAAACATAATGTAACTAGGGTTTTGAATCAGGCAAGGCAAATGTACGCTAGGTATATTAAGCAACAAAGTATGGCTCAGCAAAGAACAGAGTCCAAAATTGAAGAATGTTAATGGTTTGTTTCCTTTTATTATTCAGTACTGTGATATTTATTCCGTATTACTTTTTTATTTCATTTGTAAATATTTCTTTTTGTACACTAGTAATAATTTAAGTGAGTTTTCTTTTGCTGGTAAGGAGAAAAGTGTTTATTTCATTTAATAAAACATTTACCTACTAGTTGTTTTTCATTGCAATATTGCCAATTTTGATTAGATACCTACTGCTCAGGAAAATACTTGACTTTGAAGTAATAAGCGTCATTGGATGTTGGTGTGTGAATTGTTTTTTGGTGTGGTTGAAAAATATCAATTTAATTTTTGAGGGGTTCACATTTTGCGTTTATTTCAATTTCTGCATGTTTAACCCATGGCTGGCTGAATTATTAATAACGATAATATTGTCAATATAAATATTCATTAGACAATTATATAAAACAGACATTCGAAATATGAAATATAATGGTCGAAAAAAATTATTATGTAATGTGCTAAAAACTTAACAAAGCAGAAACATTCCTCGGACTAAGTAAATGTGTGACAAATTTGAATTGGTATTTAAAAACCATTTTCTTTATTTTGTATATTAATCTCTCGACTTCTGAAGTTTTCAGAAAAGAATTGGGGAAGGTGGTCGCCATTCGTACAGTTAGTATAACAGAAAAACTAAACGGCACACAAACACGCCTTTGCTTGTGTGCATAGACATACCAAAGCAAATTTTACTGCTTTTTTTAAATGTGCTCGTCGACTTAACTCCGATGTACTGTATGAGATATAAATATTTTTTATAAAAAAAAAACTTGTTCTTCGAATTGTAAGTATCTATTGTTTATGTAAATATTAATAGATGCCTGACATATGCTAATTTTATTAATATGTATGTATTAACTTTTGTAAATACTGATAAATATAAAACACCAATAAATTATTTATCTATCATACCAGCCGCCATGTTGCTAGCGGAGTGCCGTAGTGCCAATTGCACTACGGCGTATCAGCTAGCGGAGTGTCACGCCAATTGCACTACGGCGTATCAGCTGACAAGACGTAACTTGTTTCCGCGCGTGGTAAGTAATTTTTTTTACCTAAGTTTACTTGGTAATTGTTAGTAGAATTGTTATATTTTTGACAAAATGGTGGTTGAATAATGTTAACATTGTTTATTCTAAGCTTCAATTGTTATATTTCTCAAACTAATTCAGAATTTGTATAAAGTTGTATTTTAATTTTGTGCAAAGGCATGGGTTGCATTCGGACAACCAGATAGGGGGCACATGTTAGCAACGCTTAATTGGTTCTCAGTCGAAAAAAGATTGTATTATTTCACAATGATTTTTGTATATAAAATATTGAATAACCTGGCTCCTGTTTACTTTCATACATTTATAATATTGAATAGAGACATTCACACTTATAACACTCGGGGTAAAAATGACATTCACATTAGCAGCACTGCTTATCGCAGTACTATGAACTCTTTATTTTTCAAAGGTTTCCAAGAATTTAATAAACTACCAGACTTCATTAAAACATCATCATCGTTGAATTTGTTTAAAAAACTATTGAAAGAACGTATTAAGATGAAATAGATATCGTACTGAAAGCAATTCTTGTAATTTTTGTAATTCTATTAATTCTATTTTTAAAATTGTGATTTTCGTATATTATTGTTGCATTGTATTTCTTTTTTTGTGTTTGTCTAATGTTGTATATATACACCGTTGATTTAATTGGGATATTTATGTATATTAGGGTTACCTATTTTTAAATAAAGATCTATCTATCTATCATTTGTATGTGTATGAATGCTCCCCTTTAGATTTAATCAACTACCAGTATATCAAAATTCAATTAATATGAAATGAAATATAGTATCACTTTTTAAAATTATCGTGTAGACAGCATAATAACATTTTTCTTTTATGGTGTATTCTATTTCTAACAAAATGAAATATTTTCATTAAGTCAGCCTTATAATTAATAGTTTATTGCAGAATCATGGTGAGAAAATATAAAAAAAAATCCATGAATTTAGCAATTGATGATTTGATACAAGTATGGTTGTTGTATAGGAAAGCCGCGTTAAAATACAACATCAACATTGAAAAGCAGAGTCAAGAAATTTAAAGATGGATCTAACGTCGATGGACCAGTCTACAAGTCTCCTCCTTGAAAGAATAGGCACGCTTAAATGACTATATTACTAATTGCTGCAAAATACATTATGAGCTAACGATAGTATAAATTCGGAAATTTGATTACGAATACGCGAAAGCGTTGAATTTATATATATCCAGCTAAATGGGACAAAAATCAAATGGCTGGCTTCGAGTGGATGCGTAAATACAGGTAAATACTCAGTCTACGAAAGCAAGAAAACACTAGTGCTGCTCAATCATTCGCGTTTAATAAGAATGCAGTTCAAGAGTTCTGTAATAATTTGGCTGATGTGTTACAGCAACATAATTTTGCTACCGACAGGATATTTAACTTTGACGAGTCTCTACTGTTTTAGAAACTCCTAAAATTTTCGTGTCAGCGGATGCACTACTAAAAGACCATAAATGATGGATAAGTGCTGACATATTTTTTTCAGTATTAAAGCACATTCAGAAACACATTTTACTGCTTTGTGATGATCACGAAATCCACATCAGCTTACAGGCTATAACATATGCTCGAGATAATGGCATCATTTGTGTGTCTTTTCTGCCACACACGTGTCGTGGACTGCAACCTTTAGACCTTGGAGTATTCGGTCCATTCAAGAGAAAGTTGAAAATAGCGTTCAATAATTGCCATATGTCAAATTCTGGCAAAACAACATTTATAAAATTCCTGAACTGGTAAAACTTTCATATTTCCAATCTTTTACCGCAACAAATATTATAAGTAGATTTGAAAAGCCAGGTATATGGCCGTTCAATGAAATGGCCTTCAGCGATGAAGATTTCGCTCTCATTGACGTGTATGATTCAAATAATTCGCTAAATATGCTAATCCGGAAACAAGTACTGTCGTTCTAGAACCACAACCTTGCACCAGCGTGCCATCGAATGATATAAATGAGTCATAAGACCTCCATCTACAGCTGTTAGGAACAGAAAAACCAATAAAGGAAGAAAACCGGGTAAATCCAGTATATATACAGATACACTTGAAAAAACTGAACTAAAAGAGATACATAGACATACAGAATTGGAAAAAAAAATAGAACAGGAAAGTAAACCAGAGCCAAATCAGTGAAACTTATTTGGAATGAACTTAATTCAAGACAAAAAAAATAAAGTTAAGAAAATAGAAAGCGATGAAGATTCAGAGGAATCAGAAGGATCGCAATTTAGCTTCCGGGAGAGTTCAACATCTCCAGTTTATTTAGAAATGGACGAAGAGACTGACGATCGTAGTATCAATAATAATTTAAATGTGTCACCAGAAAAAATCAAAGATAATTGTTATGTTCTGTCATTATTCGGGTACAGAGATGAGTATATCTTATCTTCAGAAGAAACCGGGATTATGATGGTCATTCTTTTTCCGTGATATAGAAGACACACACTCTGTATATCAGCAATATCGCCATGATCCTTCTTGATCCTCAACCACGAACGGGCTGTACAGCTAAAATGGCTAGATTTTTTAGTTTTTCAGTTAATTTAAGTAATTATAATGTGTAATGAGTTCCAAAATAACAATCAAATTATCTACTTTAAGTTTGAATTGTCAAAGACTACACACCGATGTCATACAAAATGATTGTAAACATCTCATTTAGACTAATTGTTAAGCTCAGAATTATCAATAAGTAAACTAAGGAAGAACTATGAACTATTTTATTTTTTGTTATTTTTCTAAAGAAAGATTTATCGACTATGAGTCGAGTCACATATTCTTAAGTTAGTTCTTTGGTAAATGAATATTTTTATAATAATTAAATTTACCAACTTCAATTGGCTTTTTAATTACTCTGTATGAATCTACCCCATGGCGTACGAAAGTACCCCATTTACTGTACGAACGTAGCCTATACGTGGGGTACATTCGTACAAATATCTTATCGTAGAAAGATGACTATAACCATTTAACCTTTTGTCATAATAGTTTCTGATTTTTTTTGTAACGAACTACAATCTATGTGTTACACTTAGGTACATAAACTGGATAAATTCGACAATTAATCATAAAGTAAAAAAATAAAATCTAAAAAGTGTACAAAGAGTAACCACATTCTTCTTTGTCATGAAAATGTGAAAGTCTGAAATATCTGTTGTACAGTTCAAGCTAGGACAATTCATAGGTTGAGTTAAATCAGAAGTTGGAAATGAATGGTATAATGAAACACAGAAAAACAGTTCTGTTTAAAAAACAATTTTAGATCACTTTAACATATTACGCTAATTATCTCACCACCTAGGACAATCCCGCTGATTTAGCAGTTAGGTTAGGTCCAAAGTGAATGGGTTTGTTCGATCCTCCACCCCCCAACCCGCAAGGGTTTATTGTGTCTTACACCTATTCACACTCGACCAAATAAACCCAGTTTCTTAACGAAGCCGATGAGGGTTTTTGCACGTCAGCTACACCTGACGATGCCTTAGATTCAACCGTGCAGGGCTATTTCGCCTCTGGTTTTGGTAAATCATCACTTGAGTGCAAACGTTTGCTAACCTTCTCATGGGGGGGTTTGTTCCTCCACCTGAGACAGATTCTGCGTACGCCGCTCAAGAATTTGGTGCAAGGCGGTTTCGTTAGGTACCCCCCTCTTGAGGAGATGACTCAGTCGTTTCCTGGCTGCTCTACCAAACCTTATTTTTTTAGGTTCATTTATTAGATCAGGAGTTGGAGAGTTGAGAAGCTCTCGATCCTGATCTAAATTTACAGGGAGGTCAGTTGGAGTCGTAAGCTCGACATCCATCTCCTCTGTAGACTCAGCGTCAGAAAGAATTTTTAAGTTTACTCTGTCCATAAAAGTCCCACGAGTAGCTAGGGAAATACGGTCAATCACGGCAGAGCCCCGCATTACCGTGACAAGGCGATGCTACGACGAGAGAGCGCCCGATATCTCGAAGGTTACGTAGAGACAGCTGATAGGCTCAGTGTCATTCATCCTTTCGGCACGGATACACACACCTTAGCATTAAGTCACCGTTGGGATGCCATTCAGTTAGGGAATAAC